ACACACACACACACACGTACACAAATAACCACATATTCATGTTTTTTATGCAGGCTTATAATAAATCCTCGATTCCGATCTTTTATAATGTATGGTAAAAAAAGATTATTGTATAGTAGGCAGTCCCAACAGACATACTCGTTTGTCGAAGTGGTCCAGCCATCGGTACAAGAAAGCAGGACAAATCAAATGAAGCAAAACAACAGGCAACACTGATGGTGACTAATGGTACCTTTGATCGTGGCCCACAGTAGACCTAAGTTGATTATGTAGGCTACACATTTTATTATGTGTCATACTATGCCTGCAGGGGAGAGAAGAAGAAAGCTGGATGCAGTTTGGTGTTGATGCAATTCTAGTTAGTGACTTAGCGTGACCTTGGGCAGGCACCACATTGTCACGTTGTCTCCCGGTAGGATGACGAGAATTGTTGAGGAATAAAAAGAAGGATTCAACGTTTTCTAGGGCCTTTCCTTTTATTGTGACCTGCTCCTTTCGTTGTGCATCTGTCCTTAGTACCTTTGACTTTCCCGGGTGGATCCTCAATCCAACAGACTCCGATAGGCTGTTTAATACTGAAGTCTTTGCTTGTATCTGTTCTTGGGTGTGCGACAGAAGCGCCAAGTCGTCTGCGAAATCCAGATCGTCCAACTGTGTCCATGGTGTCCACTGTATACCATTTCTGTGTCCTCTGGTGGTTTCCTTCATCAGCCAGTCGATTGCCAATATGAAGAGGAACGGTGATAGTCAGCATCACTGTCTCACTCCAGTCTTGATGTCAAAGCTGTCCGTGAGCTGGCCATCATGTACAACCCTGCAACTTGTCCCATCGTACATGCTTTTGATGGGGTTCACCAACTTCTGTGGGATTCCATGGTGTCTCATTATCTTCCATAGTGACGAGACTTGTTGAGGAATAAAAAGATAGCATGAAAAGTATGCGCTGGCCCCTAAAGCAACCGTAGATCTCGGTCACGTGTGCTACTTTTCCCACACCTGGGTAGCTATTCAATTTACGAATGGTTGTAAAGCATACAAAACATGCTGTTGGCTCTGTTGAGTACAGATATTGTGTGCTAAGCTATATAATGCAATTACAAGTAGTAGGTTGTTATTATAATCATGTTTAGTCAACCTCCTTGAGACTACGAGGCTAGAAAAATGGAATGTAAAAATGAGGAGAAAATTATTATCACTGGGGGGGAAAAAAGGAGCAATAACGGATAATTTAGCAGTTGGTAATCTATGTAATCAAACCCACCCCATTTGTTAATTAATCGCCAGTTTTGTTTTCGTTAGTTGAAGGATGCGAGGACATCAATTTTGTTGTCCCCGTTCGTGCAGTATCACCAAAGCTGCAGCACGACCATAAAAAATCAATCATTGCTGAATGGATAAGGAATGACTTCTCCAAAATATTTAAGAAGGTTATAATTGTTTTGCTCACTGATGGAGGGAGCACCATTTGCTCAGTTGGTACGTGTACAATGTTAGGCCATGGGTGACCCTGGTCTGAATCCCCAATGTGGCGTTCTTGAAGTTGAGTTGCATGAGAAGTTCTCAAGACACTCTGACTGCTTATGTCGGTTTTATCTGAGGCTTTCCTTATATTTTAGCCATACCAATCTTAGCCAAGGATATTGCGGGGGGGGGGAGAAATGCAGGGGCAGACCAGCCTACGGGTATTTAGGCAATGTCCGTTGGGCCAGTGGTCGCTAAATCATTAAAGAAAGACGTAGGCCTACAGAAAAAATACCGTCCTTGTAACTCACCATGTTGAAAAGTCCGATGAAAAACTTGAAGACAGAGTAAACGATGATGTTCCCAGACCACACCAAAGCCGTTCCCACAATGGCCTGGAGCCAGAGGCAGACGAGCATCACTCTTTTAGTACCAAACCGATCAGACAAAGGGGTGAGGAAGATCACACTGCACGTGGTGCCCACCATGTAGATTGTGCTGGTCAAAGTCACGAGGTAGTCCCGGTCGCAAACCAGGTCAAACTAGAGGGAACAACAATAAGAAAACTGAGTTTACTTTTAAAAGACTTGTACATTATGACTGTACAGTGGGTTGTTGTTTGATTGTTTGTTTGTTGTTGTTGTTGTTGTTGTTGTTGTTGTTGTTGTTGTTGTTGTTGTTGTTGTTGTTGTTGTTTTGTTGGGGGGGGGGTGTTTGGTTTTGTTTTCGGTTTTTTGTTTTGATTTTTTTATTTTTTTAAATTTTTTTTTGGGGGGGGGGGGATATTGACGCCTTTTGCGCTAAAGAGAATCAAAGAGTGATACACGTGACGCGTAAGAGGTGAGGCTTTGATTACTAGCGTGTAGAATCAGGGTCGATGCAGAGATCTTAGTACTCGTTCTGCTCTCCTCTGTCCCGACATGTTCACAACTAAGATAGGCCCAAGAGTAGTCTTCATCAAAACGAACAGGTGGCTGTGTTGCTGCTTCTATTTTGTTTTGCTAGTTGTTTTGGGGAGTGTTGTCTTTTTTAATTTCTTTTGTTGTTGTTGTGTGTTTGTTTTTGTGTACGGAGGGTGGACAGATTCTCGAAACTCACTCCACGGGCTGTTACTTACTCCTTGGCGATGTATAGGAAGACCTTGGTCTGTCTCTAGAAAGATATCGGAATCCCCCGACCAAGGATAAGAGTATATTAAGATTGTGGTCTTATTGAACGCGGGCCATCCTCGTGCCCCTACGCCCCCTGAACGTTTGCAAACGAGCAGTTATCTTGCCACACCAGAATGTCCATAAAATCATCCCATGATGTCTTCGTTAGAAACGGACCACAGTCTGAGTGAGGCTAGCTAGAAAGGCTACAAAATTAAGTGAAACATTTTAAATAATAATAATAATAATAATAATAATAAATAGCATTTGTATAGCGCAAACCCCCGCGCAATAGCAAGCTCTATACGCTTCACAATCTATACTATTACCCCAGCAGACCTGAGAGCGTTCTGAAACAAACTCATTCCTGGGAAGCATACAATACAAGCATCCATTTATAGGCGCTAGAACACTAACATACTGACAAGATCTTTCGCTGTCTATGGCCGGGTAGCCATAAATAACTATTCGAAAAAAAATGGCAGTAAACTAGTTTGGGAGAGCACAAGCGAATATTGAACGTATACACACCGGTGAAGAGAAATGCAAGCCCAACTGCTTGCAAGAACATACAAATAACCTGAATGAAAAATGCGAAGAATACCAGATGAGCATTTTCAAACAAAAGTAATGAAAGACAACAGAAACTCGGGCCCAGTAAATATCTCCATCGACATGTCGCAGCTCAAACAGTTTGGGGAATTTAAATACCAGGGGAGCATATGTACACTTGACGGAAGATTAAACAGGGAAATTGAAATGATGACCCGAAAAGCAAATGTAGTAAACTCCCAATTATCAACACTATTCTTTCATAAACACATACCAATGGGAGTAAAATGACAACTTAAAAACAGCATTTTCCTCCCAACACTGACATACCAATGCCAGATCTGGCAGCTAACAACAGCTCAGAAAAGAATGATCATTTGCCTGTGAGATGAAATGCCTCAAAAAATTTATGTCACAAAGAATGACGGCGTAAAAAACGAAGACGTCCGTAAATCAAAAGAAATGAAAGTGGTCATCGAGCATAATGAACATCCAAGAATTACGTGGTTCGGTCACCAGATGAGAATGCCCCCAATGATGCCCCAATCAACCATTGGCATTAATATACAACGCAAAAGAATCAGGCGACAAAGACCACGTAAAACTTGGCTAAATGGCGTCAAAGAGGTCCTCCAACAGAATTATATAATATTATGTACAATGGAACCAATAGACCTATCCCTTTACCAGAATGTGCAACCCCCCCCCCCCCCCCCCTTTCGCTAAGTAAAAAGAAAAAGTAAAAGTAACTGACTGAGTTTGTTACAATGTGACTTGCGTCGAGTTTTTGGTTGCCTGAGCCACTACAAACTCCATGTAAAGAGTGTAAAATCAATAGCTCAAGACTCCCCCCCCCCCCCAACCCCAATCCACGGATCCGTCACCCATATTAGCGCTGGATTCCAGTTCAGACTGGAGTCCTCTTCTAGTAAACCCATCTGTATATGTCTACTCGGAAAGCCGACAAGATGTTCCTGATATCCAAGTGTCACAGTACCACAACTTTTTACATTGCCAATTTCGTGGAGTATTTGTCACTCTTTACCCTTACTAACATTTTGAATGAAACACATTCAGGGTGGTGATAACTTTACCTCTGAGCCAGGAAGTTCATGTTCAACGATGCCATTCACTCTGATCCCCGATCATTTCGTTTGATGGATGTCCTATCAAGAACCATTTTCAATAAACTCCTGTACGTATTTGTGGAACGCGATATCTATAAAAGGGGGGAGGTGGTCAGGGACAAAAACAATAAATGGTCTCTGTAGATGTCATGTATGCTCGTCCAAAGAGGGTTCTAGACCCGCACATTTTTTCGATGACTTCTAGTTCTAGACGATTGATTGAGTTTATATTTGAGCAATGTCAACAGTTCGAGAGTATAAATGACGGAGTGAACCAGTTTTTTTCCTCAAAAAAGATAGTAGTGAGGTGGGACTGTTTTGTCTCTGTTTTGGTATTTTGTTTATTTGTTTGTTGGTTGGTTGTTGTTGTTGGTTGTTTTTTTGTTGGTTTTTTTGTATTTTGTTTTTGTTTTTGTTCCTTGTTGGGTTTTTTCTTTTTGTTTCGTTTTGCTTAGTTTTGTTTGGTTTGGTTATTTTGATGTTTTTTTGTTGTTGTTTTTTTAGGGGGGGGGGGCGAATCTGAAGCTGTTGTTCCGAGGGCTGGTGACTTTTGTTGATGGAATGTCTGACCGAGGAGTTTTCAACTAAATGCAATGTCAAAGTGCTCGAGAGATCGGGTTGACAAAAACATGAGATGAGACAGATATCGCAATCATGAGTGAGGTAAAACAAATAACACAAACATGTGTGAGATGAAAACGATATCACAAACATGTTTGAGATGAGAGAGACAACACAAAGGTATTTTTAAAATCTCATGAGATAATGTCGGAAACATCAGTCTCATAAAATTACACATGGTATTCTGGTATTCGAGTACTCGACATAATTTTTAGCGAAAATATTTTTGTACCTATTGCAAGATTGCAAACACAACATGTACATCTTGAAAAAATAATCCACGAAATCTTCCCCTCTCAGCGTAACCAAGGTCGATACGACTTTAATTTCCCTCCACAAATGCTCTTGTATGCCGATTATTGCAAAGAAACTCTGTCTTTAGATTGAGCCAGAGATGTGGACAATCTCACAGCTTGTATCTAGAATCACTTTAGAGGAGATTACTTTTTATTCGATGAATCCAATGAGGTTTCAGGCTGTACTTTTTTCCTTGGTCGGATTCCGAAAAGACAGATTGGTAGCCTATGAGGAAAAGGTGGCAAGAAAACATAGCGACTGTGCAAAAAGCGATTTCCTCACCGCCAGAGTTGTGGCGGGTGTGTCATCCCAGGGGAGGATGGGTAGAGACTACATCTCATTTTAGAGCCATATTGCGACTTTTTATGCTTCACGTACTGCCCTTTCAATTTTAAAAGCAAGTCAAAATAAAGTTAAATGGAGAATGGAAGCACGGAAATGAACAGGATGCGTGTTGATTAAGGGCATTTTAAAACGAACTGAAGAGAGAAGATAAAGCTGATAGGCAAGTCAGTTTCGAAGAGCTGTAAGTGCCTCTATGTGAAACCCTTCCGTACTCGTCACATTACGTGGCAGATGCCTCGTGCAGTTCTTCCCTTCTAAATCTTATTTTTATACACATTTATTGATAATGTTTCCCCAGAGACGAGACGGAGACCTAATGAACACGAATTTTTGTTCATGGGGAAATCTGAGCTACATATGCGTACATTTATTCAAAATGTATATTGAAAACTACAAAATGGACAAAGCAACGTATTGTAGTAGCTGCTGCTTCTGGTTTTAGGAAATTAAAAGCAAACAACAAAAAGTTTTAAGTGTATCTCGAAAATTCTTTCGAGCTACCTTCAAAGCCCGTTTTCTACAGCATCATATTAGATGACTGTGATGGTCGATCAGATCAGCAATGCAACATGAGAAAAATGACAAATATATAGGTTGACTATATTTCCACCATTGCTCGCTTGAAAAGGTCTTCGCGTTGTTCAAGAAAATATTATGTGGACTATACGATGATTAAAAGGGACAAATCTTGACGGCCACCCGCAAGGCATCACAGTACAAGTACAGGTACAAAATGCAGATAAAGTAAAGTAAGTAAGCTTACATCAGAGACTATGGAGGTCGTGTCCGGGTCCTCAAACAAGTAAACCCATCCATTAGTACAGGGCTCGGTGTGGTTGTTGACGCTGTAGTTGGTGTACTGCTTGCAAGTGTCCCACTCCCACACCCCTTTCTCCATTTTACCTGGCACGGACTCATTCAGGTGGAGCCCAGGGGTGGCTGCACAGTGGTAGCCGGGATCATATGCCTGTCGACAAAAAATGAAAAAGGGGGAGGTTTGGAAAGGAAAAAATACCACATTCTACTTTGTGATTCTAAAACGTGATCATAAGAAGACACATGAAGTTGGGCGCCATGATTATTCATCCGCAATTTTGATCGCAGTCAGACAGGTTGCCGTCGGTACTGGGATGAGCTGTACTGATGCAAAAAAAAGGGTCAATCGAAAGAATAACATTTAAGACTCATCTTACCGTCGG